AGATCAAATTGATTGCAATGATTCAGAATAGCATCTACAATTGCAGATGCTGTCATATAGCTTCAGTGGATGGAATCCGATAGATTCTTCATGAATTTTAAATTCACTGTCTATGTTGTCTACAAAACGTACCGCCAACGACAATTGTTCTGTTCCTTATAAATCAGCTGTTTCATCGGCTAATAATGAGAATACTATAGAATTGATTACTGGTGTGCTATTTAGTTTTTTTAAATTACACCCTAAAATATCCCTATCAGTTGATCGTGGATCTGTGAGACGTATAACGAGCACTACCAACGGACGTCTGCAGGTGTGTCACCAGATCTTTGGCGCCTGCCTCGACTCTAAACTGAAACAGGTCATGGACACTTCTACTGTCACTATCTTTGTAACCAAGTGCGATGTCGTGTGCTCCACAGAAAATGATGGTGGATAATATCGGCAAAAGCTCATGTCAATTTTCTAAAATCTTACTAGAAATAGACTTGTCTATCTGACTTAGGGTCAAATAGACTTGTCTATCTGACTTAGAAACAGACTTGTCTATCTGACTTAGGATATGTCGGTCTGGTTTCCTAATGATGCCCAAGAATGCTATTGCATGCTGCTGAGCAACTTTGTGCCACTCATTTTCCACATGATTACGAGCACCTTGGGGGGGGGGGGGGGGCATTGTACTTAGATGAGGATAGATGTTGCTTTAATGGAACTTGATACCACCGATAAAAGGATTGCGGGTTAACAAAACAGAATATCCATAATTGCCCTTATATCTGACTTAGGATATGTCGGTCTGGTTTCCTAATGATGCCCAAGAATGCTATTGCATGCTGCTGAGCAACTTTGTGCCACTCATTTTCCACATGATTACGAGCACCTTGGGGGGGGGGAGAGTCATTGTACTTAGATGATGATAGATGTTGCTTTAATGGAACTTGATACCACCGATAAATGGATTGCGAGTTAACAAAACAGAATATCCATACTTGACCTTTGACTAGAATGGTCAAAACATGGGAAAAAATGCGATCAAGCCAGGCATACCGAAAACAACGTTCTTTTTTCCTCCAGGCCTATCCTCATTGAAACTATTGTAGCTAGCTATTGGTCGGTAGGAGTTTGTGACTAAACGATATTTTAAAACATCTGACATTTTAAATGTTGACTGAATATGTCGATCCAAATCAAGATCATTGACTGCCGTATCACAGCCAAAATTACGATGTGTTATTCAGTGTCAAATTTGACCCCGATAGTAATGAATCGCAACTCTGAGAACCACTGGCTGGCAGCTTCAAACTCCTGCGGGTGTGAAATGGTCAGGTCATTACATTTAGTTTGTTCTTCAACGTGTTGGTCCTCTCTTGTGAGTGTCGTCGATGTGGACACAGTTGTTAGGTTACAACATGTCTTACATTCATCAATCATCAAATGACTTCTTTTGTCTTTGTGACATATACAACGAAATTCTATTTATTTTTATATAAACTTTTTTTATATTGATAATGACAAAGTGAATATATTAGTATTTTTAAATATTAATTTATTCCTTTCCTGGGTGGGTCCCGTGACCCACCTTGAACCACAGTGCGGACGCCCATTTCCCTACCGCTGTGTTGAATAAAACAACTAGATCACAATCTCATCTCGCTATATTGGCGTAGGTTCGCCATTTTAATGTCGTGATTGCAAAGACTGTGTTGTGATGTTTTTGGCCTTGAGATTCGCCAAATTGTGATGTTGCAGTTTTTGGCAGTGGCGTAACTAGGGTTGATGCCAACGAATGCGGGTGAAGAATTTTTCCACCGCCCTTCCACGAAAAAAGAAGCTATAGGCTACAGTGGGCCGAAATATCGGCCACTTAATATGAAGAAATAACGTGCCGCCCGAGGCGGACTGCACTCTCCGTCCAGCCCCTTCCTTCGCCACTGAGTTGAGCAGATAGAGTAGGCTAATGTGCTAGAATTTACAGTGAGCAATCTACTTACGTCTGCAATAGGCCTATATTTCCATTTACTAAGCTGTTTAAGAAATTTAGAACAAATAGAATGAAGCCGATTTCCATACAATGTTAATTTAATTAGAATATATATTTTTTGAAGTATGAATAATCTTTCACACCCAAATAAATACCCAACACACATGACACGAGGTGACTTTTCAGACCTTGCGTTTCGGGCTACCACGCACACGTCAATGAAATAATGTTTGTAATAGGCCTACACAGTGGCGTAGCCAGGGGGGTGCGGACCGCACCGGGTGACACCATTTTAGGGGTGACACCCGATTGAAAAATTGCATATTTACAGAGGACACACTGCTCGGTCTAACCGAGATTCATAAAAGGATAACCGATCATACACACATTTTTTCACAAATGTAACCAATCCAAATGCGTGCTTTATTAAATGTTCAAGGTTGATGCGTCAGAAATGTGATGACCCTATGTTTAGGTCAGAAAAACACATTCATTATTCCATGCCGTTTAAAGTGTTCGGTAACTTCCTTAAGTGACAGGAGGCTATTAAATAAGTGTGGTCAGGCGGTTATAAGTATAGAAATCAGTAAAAATTAAAAACATAACAAAATGAATTTTACCCATTTGTAGGGTTAAAAAATATATTATTTTACACAATTTTCAATATTTTAATGATTAATTCTTTTGTATTTAAATAAAGAAAAGTTTTTTTGAAGACACATATAATATTATATATCGAAACCCAAAAGGTGTCTTACCTTTCACCGGAAATCCAAATTGAATTTATAATTGTCCTTGCAAATCATGTGAAGGAGTTTCTTATCATGGATATAAAGCCTACAAGGTATTTTGTAATTATTTTCGAAAGTACACCTGATATATCACACAGTGACCAGATATTTGTAGTGATCATATATGTGATAATCCACAATGGGAAAGTTGAAGTGAGAGGAGTGTTACTTGCATTTTTCCCGTTAAGATTGAAAAAAAGCTGATAACCTCAGTTCTGACATCCTTACAAACTAAAGCGTGATGGACTAGACATAATGATGTTCAGAGCTCAGGGTTACGATAATGCTGCCCTAATGTATGGAATCCATGGAGGTGTTCAAACCATTCGGAAAAGAAATAATAAGAAAGCAATTTTTAAAGGATGTATGGGCCATTCACTTGTGTGGTCAACACTCTTTTGCAGATAATGCTTCATGTATTACATTATTCGGTACTCTTGAAAGAACATTTTCCTTCTTTGCTGCATCCAATAATCGATGGGATGATCTAATTGAACACACTGGAATGTCGGTGAAAAGACAGTCAACAACGCGTTGGAGTGCTGATCGTGCTACTCTTAAAACAGTGAAAGATATGTTTGATGAATTTTGGGAGGCGATTAAAGCTCTATGTCACCACCTTGTAAAAATTTGCACACAAGAGGTTAAGCACACGATCTTTTACATGTTGTCTGTGATTTCACGTTTATCTGCTACCTTTAACTTTGGGCTGATCTACTTGAGGAAGTTAATCTTATCTGCAGATTTAAGGGATTACTCTTGATAAAGTGATGACAAACCTAGAGGCATTAAGATTGTTTCTGCACGTGAAGCGCCGTCACTTGGTGGAGATTGCTATTGAAAAGGCACTTGTAAAATCAGACCAATATGGAATTTTGGTAGAGAGAAGATTAAGGTTTAAGAAGAGAATGGCAGGAGAACAATTAGTAGATGCTGGACTCCATCTGTGAGAAGAAAACAGTAGGGAGATGCTGGAGTGTATTGATCGCTTTCATTCTGAACTCCACATGAGATCATCAGTGACCAAGCAAGTACCAGATATGTTTTGGTCTGTTCAACCCAAGAGTCTAGTATCAGCAAGTGAAGAAGATTTATTGGTATCCCTTCCAAAATTAACTTCTTTCAATCATGAGTTATCAGAAGATGAACTTTAAAAAGAAATATCAAGGCTTAGAAGACATCTAAAAGCAGCTGATATTGTATTTCACAAAGTCATGGACTGGTCAGTATTTTATATTTTGAAATTCAAATCTGAATGGGACTTCCTAGAATCTCTTCCAATACTCTCGCTAAGCCTTTAATTTTTTCTTACGATATGTATGAATGTGGCTTCATGTGAGCGGAGCTTTTCAAAACTAAGGCTTATCAAGAAATATTTATGATCTACCATGTGACAGTCAAGGTTTTCTGATGTGGCTCTGCTATCAATTGAAAGTGATACAGTGAAAAACATTGATTTTGATCCAAGTGATTGACAGGTTTGCAGCTTTGAAGACAAGGAAAGAAAAATTTTAAATTGTAAATTTAAAGTAAATACAGCTATAACTTAACGTTTTTAAATATATTAACTTCATAACCTTGGATTTATTTGTTTTTGTTCTTGTTATTGTTACATTGTGGACTTATTTTAACAATTAAAAAATCAGCATGGAAAGGGGGGGGGGGTGACACCATGAGTTTACCGCACCGGGTGACACCAACCCTAGCTACGCCACTGGGCCTACACATTAACAAAAAGTCGCCCGTGCAGTTTCCCCCCTCACCCTCTGCCGTAGTTGGGCTACTACTCAACTACGACAAGTCCCATTTCAACACGTTAAATTATGGTATGTTACATGTTTTGAGTATTGCTCCCCCCCCCCCCCCCCCCCCCATGTTTTGAGTATTGCCCCCCCCCCCCCCCCCCCCCCTTTTTTTTTTCATTGATGTGACAGTGGCAGCTTTCCCCTTCACCCATGCCCATAATCTTTGCATCACCCTGAATGTTTGCCAAATAAATAGTTTTTAAAACTGCCCACTGATTTAAGCCAAAGAGATAAATAAAAAAAAATCATTAGCCTATATAAAAAACAACAACTGGACACTTCATTAAAGAGAGGAAAGGAAGTGCTAAAATAACGAAAATCTAAGAGACAAAACAATCACAATCTTTCAACAGAAAGGGTAAAACTGGTAAATATAATGGAAATTAAGGCGCCATCTATCGGTCAACATTTACGATATTCGCTGTCTCAGTCCACGATTGAGGACTTGTCGACATGGCGGAAGAACAGCTGTATGAGGTATTATTAAAATTCGATTTAATGAACATTTTCTTGTATTATTGGATTCTGGGGATTTATTTAAATCTTGATACATGCTATTATGTTTTTAAGCGTTATGAATTTTAAACAGCAGCAGTTATGGACCCTAATTCATCGTCTACGAGCAATGAGCTGATCGGACGAAGGAGTGAAAAAAAAGTCGATTTCGGGTTAACCAATCGTTGTAGTGGGAAATAAAGCTTGCATAATGATATGCCCATGAGGTGAAGGCTTGTGAGCTACTTGTTATGGGGGAAATACAATTTGACTAAATGCCACGTGCGCTTTATTTTCTAAAGAAGAAAAAAGACCACCACCCATTTTGCCCTACTAAATTTCTTAGTAATCTTAGACTTAACAAAATTATTTATAAATCATACCTGTTTCCCATTTACTTCACCCCCCCTCCCCCATTCAGGTCTTATACTTATTGTTGTTTAAATTAATTAAAAGAAACTAGAAATCTATTGTTGCGGCTACGGTAACCTCATTAAATGAAATTGAAGTTGATAAATCACTGTGAATCAGTGTGAATGAAATGTGAACTCAAAGCTAAATTACTTAATTTTAATAAAGCTGAAATAGTCTTTAGTCTTTAGTCTTTAGTATTATAATTATTGACTATTGATTTTTTTTTTGTATTTATTTATATTAGACTAACTAGTAACATATTATTATTCAGCTCTTTTTTGTAAATGAATAAAATTAAAATAAATAATTTACTTAGTAAGAAGGCACTTGCAGTTTTGAAGATAAAAAAAATCAATTAGTAATAGATTATTTTTTTTTAACCTTCAAATCTGTAACTGTAAGAGCCTTTTTATGTCATTTATCATTTATGCTAGAGGCTAATCAGAAATCATCTAATGAAGACCCATATCATATCAATGTATGGTCATGGTTGTAATAGTAGGCCTATCTATTAATTTATGCCAGCTTACTCACTCAAACATACTGATCATACTTTATCATTACTATTATTCCATTAAAATATGAAAGTATTAAGCTCTATGCAAATTTAAATAGAATGAAATACTGGTAAATACTTTAAATTAACCACTCACACAAGTGTCATAAGACATAAGGACAATGCAAGGGCATACGTTTATAATGAGTTCAGTAATGTATAGGCCTATTATTACTATAATAAAATTGACCCAAATGAAATAATTAAAATTAGAATTTATTAGGCCTATCGTAATATTGTTTGAGTTGAAACAAAAGCTGTTCTCATATATGGAACAAAACTGAAACTTTTCATAAAAAATTTAGACTTACAATAGATAGACTAAAAATTAGTAGGTCTGATCAAGTAGCTTGTTGTATTTTGTCACTATGCTCATATGTTCTCATTGACCTATTTGAAATAAAATTTTCTCAGATCTTTGACTCGATCCCACAGGTGGAGCAAATTTTAGGCAAGAAAGTATTGAGTAGCAGGCACGTACTATATCTTGTACGTTGGAGAGGATTTTCTTCTGACCATGATTCATGGGAACCATTTGGCAACTTGAAGGCTTGCAAGCCACTTACCAGCATGTTCAACAGGCATTTGGAGGAATTTTTAGGAAAAACTCCAATGCAATGTGGTACTCAAGTTATGATGGGAGAGAATGGCCCAGAAATATCATCTTTAAAACATACTAAAAAAGGAGAAAAATTATTTGCCCTAAAAAAGACAAATCTTTTAGAAAATGTTAAAGTTGTTAGTAGTGCAAAGCTGACATCAGGAGAAACATTAATGAAAAAGAAAGTCAAGAATATTAAAAGGAATTCTACAAATGTGCTGCCCTCTGAAACAAACTTTTCCCCGTCTGAGGGTAATATTAATAAAACTGAAGGTCAAAATAAAACTTCATATTATTTACAAACTGGCTGCATAATTGAACACCTTCAAAAGAAAAAGCTGACTGTTAAAAGAAAGGCAGAAAATGAAGGCAGCAATTCCAAAAGCACACCCAAGGCAAAAAGGCCTAAAAAAACAAACAATGAAGCTGTTTTAACAAATGTTAAATTCTCAGTGTTTAATGCCGTGGGTGTAAAAAAGGCTGAAGGAGAGGTCGATGAAAATGATGATGACATTCTTTACTCATTAAATCCCAAATGTGATATTTTAGAAGGAGGTGATAGCATAAAAAAGAGCAAGATAAACTCCAAGAAGGTTATAGGAACAGACAGAAAAGATTCCATGAGAACTAAGTCATCTGTGATATATAGAAAAAATTCATCAGGAATGCATAGCAGGGAAGGCCTTAAAAAGAATACCAGTAAAAGAAAAAAAATCAATTTGATCGACTCAAAAAGAAAGTCAAAATATTGGCTGTCTAAATCAGGTGCATATTTTATTATTCTTTTCTAGTTATTGGTTTATTATTCTCAATTATATTTAACAAAAAAAATTAAAAAGGCCATTAGAAGTCCACTTGTTCTTACAATGCAATAAGAAGTTTCTAATCTTTGTTTAAGGGGGAGGTGGGAGTGGGGCTTGTTAGCAGAACTGCTCAGACCCAAGGTTAGTACACAGCATCCCAAATGCCAGTCAAACCCAACATGTGGAAACCAAGCCTCCCCTACTTTGGCTTGTTGCTTTCTGTGACTATGCAAAAAATATTTAGACATAGAAAGCTGTATGTGGGCTAATATTCCACAATATTTCCAGAATTTTCTGCAAATGTTTTCTTATTGTGCTTCCTCTGTACACCCCAGACAAAACAACACAGATATTTTAGAATTGTAATTCCTCTTAAAAGTGTTTCACTAGTTGTAATTGGAAACCTGATCTGTTTATGATTACAATGCAAGATTCAAAATGGATTTTAACATTATGTGTTAAGTATTGCACTCTTAAAGTTTTCTCTATATTTCAGAAATGTATTTAATTTGGAAAAGTTACATAACAAAATTTGATTCTCATTAAAAAGTACAAAACAAATAATGCAAGCAGTTTATAATTTATGCTTACAAATAGGGTGCTTTCTAATTCCCCAATTTTGTGAATTCTAAGCTCTTACATAAATTTTGTTCCCTTTGAGCTAAAGTCATATCAAGTGAACATTTATCTTAAAAGATAAAATAAAGCAAATCCCCTATTTATAAAAATTATTTCATTTTCAGGCCTGCTACAGTCTGAATCAACACCACCACATTTTACCACAGTAAAGCATGACACAGGCAGTCCAGCAACACAAGATCCTTCCATTCCCTCTGGTGAATCATTATCCGATCCAGTTTCTCCTGAGGCCTCTGGTTTGTGCAACTATAAAATTTCAGAACAATTGACCTTGAATGAATTTGAAACAACTTGTTACTTTATTCAGCCGTTAGGAATGAATTTTCCAGTTTAGTGTTTTTCCTATAAAACAGGATTTCCCAACCTTCAAGGGTTGCAGGATGGCATTGCAAGGGGTGCGAGGATAATTTCATTCAAAGAATAGAAGTGACATAAGCATTTAGGTTATGATATAATAAATATTTATATATTTGTCAACATTTCTGGAAATTTTTTTACTAAATCGAATGTTATTTTCTGAATTCTACTGTTACGCTTTGCAGTTCAATAAATAAATTAGAAGTTCATTATTGGCCAATGTTAAAATGCTTTTTTACTTTTATAAAGAGTGTGAGACTTAGTAAAATAATTTATAGGAGTTGCCTGGTATAGAATAGTTTGAGAAACATTGTCCTTAACATAACTGATTAATTATCAGTTTCATGCATTGAAAAAAATTTAAGGCGGGCAACGACTGGTTTACTTTTTTTTTTTTTTTGCAATTTTTTTTAATCAGTTTTTTTTTATTTGTTAAATTAATATTCTTTTTTTAGTTTAACATAACTGATTAATTATCAGTTTCATGCATTGAAAAAAATTTAAGGCGGGCAACGACTGGTTTACTTTTTTTTTTTTTTTGCAATCTCTGTTAATCAGATTTATTGTATTTGTTAAATAAATATTCTTTTGTTAGTTTCAAGCTGAATGGAAGGACTTTTCAATGCTGGAAACCCAGCCATTAATACTACATCTTAAGACAGAAGAGATAATTTGGTTATAAAATAGAAATTAGGCCAATATTAGATATAGGTGAATGTGAATTAGCAATTGTGCTGCTACTTTTCTGTAAAGAAAGGCTACTAACATTGCAAAGATTTATACAGTAAATTGTACTTGTTATCAAAGGGGATGCGTGAAATGACATATATTTGAATTTTTTTGTCTATTTTTTTAACAGAAACCTACCTAGCAGATGTTCCGACATCATATCCACTGCCAGCATTGGAGCCTGTTGTAAATGATCAACCTCTTAGCCCAGCTTCCCTTTCATACAAATCTCTTCTTGATTGTCTCCCTGCGCAACTTCATCCTTCCCATAAAGGCGATAAAAAAAATAAAAGTTTAGCTAGTAGTGGAAGCAGTAGTAGTCTTCTTGGTGCTTCTCTGACCAGCTCATTGAGTACAGAAACAGTAGAGAGACGTACAAGTGTAAGGTCAACAGAGTGTGCATTCCGATACAAGCAGATTGTAGTAAAGAAATGTTTTCGTTACACTCAAATTTGGTTGAACACACAGACTGTGATGAAAAATGCTCTAAATCCTCAGGTAAAGTATTGTTCAACATCTTTTTTTTTTGTTGATAAAACGAACCATTATCTTTTAGTGAGTTTTCTTAACTTTCTTGACTGATGTATAAATAATTTTAGAGTTAGGTAGTTTACTAAATCAAAATGCCGTATCACAATTTTTTAGTAAAAGAGGAATTAATACTTAAAGCCTTATTCACAAAAGGCTCTAAATGTGTGGGGAAAAAATAAAGGAATATTGCCTTTTATTGATGAGATAATGGATCTTCAGCAGGGATTAAGTATTTATATCTTGATATAATTTCATAATCTGTTTTATTTTAAGTACCATATTTTACGGATTATAAGATGCACTTTTTTTTTTGAAAAATTAACTCCAAAATTCATTTGCGTCTTATACTTGAAATTAATATAATGTTATTTTTTTTAAAAAATTGCTCAAAAATTAAGGTGTGTCTTATTTGTCAGCGTCTTATAGTCCATAAAATACAGTAATTTAAATCTACATAATTGAAAATGCTTTCTTTTTATAGGTAATACAAGAAGTTGTGTCTGCACTCAATTCAGCAAAATATGATGATAGTCACTTAGTCTTGTTCTCTAGCTTAGGAAATGTGTTCTGTTCTGGAACAGATCTTCATTTCCTTGTATCAGGAGAACGCAAGATGTCAGCCCGGCAGATGACTGATGCCATACGGTTAGGACAATATAAAATTTAGATTCCTACAGATACTTTAATGTGAATAAAATTGCCAGATGTTAATTTTTTTAATGCACCTATTCATAAACAATTTATTATTATTAAAAAAAAGACACATTCAAAATATTTTTAACATTATGTTTCATATTGTTATCAGATTAGTTCATCAAATTTAAACTGATGAGTTCTAAGCAAAATTTAATTTTACAAAAATGTTAATTTACTTAAAAATGTGTGTTTAAGTGGCAGGAAATGGGTATGCTCACACTCAAAGATAATGATCTATGACAATGGGTTACATTTTTTGTCATGATTTTATTATAGGGAGCTGACGAAAACATTTATCACATTCCCCAAACCAATCATTGCCGCTGTTTCTGGAGCAGTTGTGGGACTTGGTGTATCATTACTTGCCCTATGCGATGTTGTCTATGCGAGCGACAAGGCATCTTTCCACCTTCCTTACTCTCAACTATCTCAAACGCCTGAAGGATGTTCATCATTCACTCTGCCATTAACTGTGGGACTTCCTTCAGTAAGTATTGTAGTAATTTGACTGCTTTTGTTTAACTTGGGATATTATGAAAGTTTGTTTTGCATATCTTATTGTTATGTTTTATATCGTGTTAAAGACTGGAAATCCTAAATGACATGTATGTATATATAGATACCTATACATATATATATACATACCTTTTTTTAACGACTGAATCCGTTTTTAAAATAAAAATGTTATTAGTAAAATTAGTAATCAATTTTATATTAATTACACATTAAGAATCATCATGAACTTCCTGAAAATAAAACATGGCTGTTTTATTTTATTACCAGGCAAATGAATTACTATATGGAGGTAGGAAGATCACAGCAATGGAGGCATATCAACAAGGACTGATTTCTCAAGTATTCTGGCCAACATTAATGATGCAAGAAGTCATTCCAAGAGCTCAAAACATGGCAGCTTGCTCAGCAAAGGTTAATCCTATAAATATCAACCCGTTTTCTTCATCCATTATGTACTGACTCAAGGTCGATACATTGAATTTTATATATGTATATATTATATATACATGTTAACTTTGAAAAAAAAATTGTTGAAGAAATCCCTTTTCTATTTATTGACAGTTTATGTTAAGGTTATAATAACTAACACTATCCATATGTTAATTTAACAGGCCCTTGAAGCAACTAAACTACTCGTACGCAGTCATCATCGAACTAAAATGGAGCTCACCAATGAAACAGAGTGCAATCTGCTTTTTGAGCGATGGACCTCTGCAGATTGTCAACGAGCCATTGAAGCCTATCTGAGCATTGAAAAAAACTGGACCTTCTAAATGCTTTAAAATAAATGCTGCTATTATTTCAACATCTATTTTTTGATGTGGATCTTACTTGATAGGCTTATTTATATGATCATTGACAATTTCAACTGTTATCGCTATTTTGGGAGTTCACATTTTTTTTGTTTAGTAAGTTAATAGATCTTGTTTGAATGAACTGTAACATGCTTTTATTTCTTGGATAATTTAACTGGTATGCTCTGCAGTGAGGAATGGCCATTAAGTCCATTTAACTCACCTCCTTATCTCTCTATATGCACATTTATTCATGTCATTTACTTCACCCCTGTGTTTTTTTTTATTGTCACTATTAATTGTTGATGTAAATTTTTTTTTTTTCCTTTTGAAGAAGAAGAAAACAAATTAATGCTACCTCTTTGAGGACTTAAAATGAGAATATTAATTGCCCATTCTTTTTATTGAACCTCAAGAGTTTAAATACATATTTTTTTACATACTCAGCATTTAAAAGGAAATTGTACATTGTATGCTCTAATTAGTAAATTTGTCAAAGTTCTAGTCATTTTCTTATCTTGCTGGCTTGAATTGACATGCATTCAAAGAACTGTCGCCTATCATTTTTGCTCTCCATGTAGCTATCATAGTTATGACTAAACATCTCCCTAATTGAATCTAGAATACTTAAAGCCCCATATTCAGAAAAGTAAAGAATCATATTTTTTTTCTCCATAAATAGATTACAGTGGATCACCGCTATATATGACATGAATTCAGGTATAACGTGGGCGGGCTCACATTTGCACATATCTAAAACCTTGTAATTATGGGACCCCTGCTATTAACGCAATCCAATTTAATGGACCCCAATTATCTTGTTCCACTTACTGCATAGCAACAAGTTATAAACAGTTAAACATGGGACAAATAATGGTTTTGAGACAAAGTTTACTTGCATAGATTGGTAAAATCTAATGATGTTATAAATGAACTATAATGTTGATCAGTAAACATTTTAGAGTGGCTCAGAAAAAAAGAACATTAGGTCTACATAGTCCGACTATGGTTGGCCATCATGAACATTCATATCTCCTTTTTTTTTTTTTTTTTAAAAAACATAGTAGCTAAATCTTTTGCACCATTTGTAACAAAAAAATCTTATAATACACAACAGATTAAATAAAAATTAATTTCAAGTTTATCAAAGAAACTTTGGTTTCTTTTAATGTCTCAATTACTCTTTGTTATGATTATGTTTCTCTTTGTAAGAATATAGTTGGTGAACAAAGTGTGTTTGTTCCATAAAAAGGGGAAGTCTCATTAAACTATGAGCATTTTTATTTATTATATATTTTATTGTCACATGTGCTGCATCTGATGTTTGATTTTGACAACAAATTTTTAAAAGTAAAAGACATGATTTATGATTTGAAAAATATCTAGCTGTTTTCATGCAATTTTATTTAAATTACTGAAAATATAATTTGGTTTGCGTAGTTGTGAAGGCTAATACTAATCCTAGTTGATATAACTGAAGTGCCTTTAACTCTATTAGTGATCATTATATTTCATGTTGCTACTGTTTGAAAGCCTTTGATCGTGATAATTTTGTGGTATATTAAAATATGCTTGGGCCTGCAGCATATTCTTTCAGTCCTGTTAAGTTGTATGAGTATTGACATTGTTCTTTAGAGAGTTAAATGTGTTGATTGATCTAGGGAAATCTGTCTTACTGAATTGATTTTTCACTTAAAATGTAATAGATTCTGTATCAAGCTAAATTTTCATCAAGCTAGTTGTCTTTTGGTGCAATCAATGCACATGAACAATTATTCTTTTGTCATTTAACTGGTCATCCCTTATATACAGAGATCTGCCAGGTTTGAAGTATTCTTTTCATGATGGTCTTACTTTCCTTGACACCTCTTAAAATTGAAGAATGAACTTAAATGGCATCACTTTAATGAAATGTCATGTTTTCTTAGATCCAGGCAAAACAAGCATGGTAATAAGGTGTAGTTGAAAGAAACAATAATGCTTACATTAATTTGTATCTACATCCAGTATCATGTTATATTTAGACTTTTGTATATTTTGACTTGCAAAATGCTAATGTGTAGGTCTGTAATTAGTTGAATACTTTTTGGGTTATCAAGCCGTTGGAAGTTTACTAATGCAAAAGTCAAACATTATTTTGGTTTATTTCTAATTTAGATTTTAAAATACATCTCCTAATTTTAAAAAGTCATTTCATTAGTGTTTTAAGATGTGTTTTAACAATTCAATTTTTTTTTTTTTTAATTCTGGTGCAAACCCAATTTTTAATGGGTCTTTGCAATGATTTTTAACTCCACATCTGTTTGATAACTACTACTATGTCAATGATAGTTTTAACATCATTTTATGAATAGAACACTTCTATTTTGGAATCTCCGGCTTTTGTATGAATCTCTCATGCTTTAAATCAGGGTTTAGCAAATCAGGGGTCATCAAGCTACGGTTTCAGATCAAACATTCTTTTAAACTTCAAAGTGTATTGGAGCTCTGTGTTACTCTCTCATAGTTTTTCATTCTCAACTTGCTTGATGGTCTCTGAAGTTAGTCTTTTGTACACATGCCTGGAATATTGTTTGACCCTTTAAACTAAAATATGTTTTCTGACCCAAATTTTAAATCCACAAAGCGTGTGAGAAGTAATAGCAAAGAGTATCAATAAAATAATGATTGAAAGTGGCAAGTGATTTCGGTTAACAGGAGTGATCTACTGAGCTATTCTTCCCTTCAAAGTAGAGTTTTGAGTCAATTAACCCTGTTGTATTATTATCTGCTATATACATGGACTATGATAGCTACTACTACTACAGGAAGAGTAGTGTCCTTCAGTTTTCTTTAAATATAGTTTAATGTGCCTCTTATTTTAAGAACAATGCAAATTTTATATAGTAAAAACCAAACTTTTAAGATGTTGTATTAAGTGAAAGTTAATTTATATCATTTTAAAAAACTCAAATAATTGCTATAAGTAGGAAAAGTAATTTAGCACTGAAGTATGTAGATTGTAATTTAAAAATAAGATTTTACTTTTTTTTTCCTTTTTAATCAAAAGCACCTATTTATTAACTGGACATAGCATTAGTCTGTCTCCTGAGCACTGTTGATGCCTCACTATATTTTTAGTCATATATGATATATATTTACACCAACATGCTCTCCCATTTTTTATATTTTCATATGTCGGAATGAAATTTTAATATGTTCAGGTGTATTTATAATAGTGTATTATGATATTGTCATAAACTTATTGTGATATTTGTGCTTTGTACCCGAAGAAGTTTATGCCTAATTATTTTTAGCATTTCTTTGTATTTTCACACATACACCTTATTTTGGTCTATGTTCATACAGGAAGGTCTTTTTAAACAAAAAAAAAGAATTTTTAAAACTTAACAGATTGATGCTTAATAAAATAAGCGGAGGGGGGATGGTTAAGCTGTAGATGTGTTCATTAAAAAATAAATCTGTTGTATGGAAAGTGTTTCCAACTCAATGAAATTGTGCCCAAAGCTTTTTATTTAATTTTTAAAAAAAAAATTTTTTTAAATGGAGGGAGACCCAAACAGTGGAAATATTTGTGGCGTACGACTATACTATATCTCAATCAAGTATATAAATATATGTCATATGGTGTGAAATCCTGTATGCAGCATTAATATTGTATGGAATTAGCATCAATTTTAAATTTCTCATGCAAAAGAAATCACATACACTGAGAATTCTAATTATGTTTCACTTTAAAAGCCTTAAGGATGATTTTCTCATATTTTTTTTACACAATTTTATGTCAAATTTTAATTGTCTGTCCCAAAATTGATGGACCCGTGGCAACTCTGGTTAGGGATATCAGCTGTCTCAAATGAAAATTATAGAAAAAATGTCTTAGCCCCACAGAAACAACCCTCATCCCCGAATCATGCCCCTCATTGATGCAACAATGCTCATGGCCCAAGGATTAGACACTTAATGATTATGGCACCATGGACAAGCATGCATGTCTAGGTTGCAATATATAATTTTCATTTCAGATTTCAAATTTAGAAACTGATTAAAGACAAATACATTGCATATGCATATGAATGACAGCGTTTATGTTTTGAAAGAGTAAAGAAAGAAAGAAATTTTTGAATTGTCACAATGATCATTAATTATATTTCATCTCACTGCAACCTTCATAAAGCTGTTTTCACTGAAATATCAGAAATATTCTTGCCACAATTGTTAGTGTTTTTGTAAAGTGCATGTTTATATTAGTATTTTTGACTTATTTTGTTAAATGACTATGTTTCAGAATTGTAACAATTCTATCATATTAGAGACTAACAATGTATTTATTTATCAGCAAATCTATATTTCAAGTGCTACAATTTATAAGAATGCATGACTGTAAATAGGAGTTTTGGCAAACTTATAAATTTTGGTCACACAATCCTTCAAGGATTTGTGTTTAACTTATCTTTTAAAACCCTGTTCATATCCACTTCTCCACACATCAACTGTTATATGGGCTTTGGTTTTTGACAGCTTATAAGAAATTTGAGTTGTAATTCAGTATCGCAAGTCTACTGATATCACAAGGCTTATAAATAAGTATCTAAGTTTGGAAAAAGGGAGATGGTCCATTGAGGCAGATTGTAAAAAATGGTGGAGATATACATTCACACAAAATCATTTTATGGAGATGGATATGCCGCATTTCATTAGACAGGCTTAGGTAATAGTGAAAAAAAAAATTGTTTTTGGGAATTGGATGAGTGTTTTAATTGTTAGGATGGATGGAAATGTTTTTTGATTGAAGCATGTTCAGATATTTCTATATATCAAGCAATGTGGGAATGAAAAGCTTTAGGAATGCCATACTGTTTGAATATTGGGAGAACTTAATTTTTGTAAAATTATGTTAAATCAATTCTCAGATTATAAGCAGTAGTTTGCCAACTTCTGTATTAATTTGTTGAAATTCAAGGGTTGGGTATTCTAGGCTAAAATATGAATGTGAAGTAGCAGCTCAAGTGTCTGTTATTTTATTTATATTACAGAGATTTCAAAATTTTAATGAAAAAGAAAGATGTATGCCAACTAAACATTTGACATGATTGAAAGCAAATGTTCTAGGATATAATTATTGTATCACTTTACCTTGAAATGTCACAAAAGCTTTACAAGTGTTTAATTAATACTAATTAATTTAATTAATGGAACTGTA